CTGAAACTCCAATACTTTGGCCACCTGATGCAAAGAGTTGACTCATTGGAAAAGACCCTGATGCTGGGAGGGATTGAGGGCAGGAGGAGAAGGGGACGACAGAGGATGAGATGGCTGGATGGCATCACCGACTCGATGGACATGAGTTTGAGTCAAATCTGGGAGTTGATGATGGACAGGGAGGCCTGGTGTGCTGCAATTCATGGGGTTGCAAAGAGTCGGACATGACTTAGTGACTGAACTGAACTGAACTGAAATCACTGACAGATGCTTTTAACCTTATTTCCTTGTTCTTCTCAAAGGATCCTCCCATAATTTAGATGCCCAGTTTTGGAGGCGGTGGTAAGGATCAGATTTCACACATTATGTTTAGAGGATAAAGAAAAATTAAAATTTAAAATTTATGGATGGTATCACAGCATAATTCTCTTGATGAGTGTTATTTTGGAAATCATTAGATGTGTTTTTACATGACTGTAATACTGTCTTCTTTGTCAATCAGTCTTAAGAATCCAGTGGAGACAAAATTGTCAAATGTTTATATCATATTCATTCATCTTGATGGCAGTCACATGTGGCAGTTCAGCTTATTTTCTGTGGAATTAGTATTATTATAATTTTACAACAAAGCAGACATATATTTTGCTTGTAAGTTTTCACAAGTATTAGGTAACCTGAACAGATTCCATGCTTTACAGCTTCCTGAGAGTCTGCTGTGGAGGCTTTTACTTGTGAGAAGGGTGGGGAAATAGTGAGTGAAATGGGTTTTATAAAGGTAGCCAGTGATGCCCAGTATTATAGACTCTGCAGCTAGGAAGGATACAATGTGGACTTTACTCAGGCCAAATGAGTGTTAAAGGAATGGCCAAACTTCTCATACAGTCAGCTGCATCATGGGTACTGAGGCTCTTCTCATAACTTGACAACTGTAAATGGTTTCTAGAGGTCTATCAGTCAGGGTATCTAGTTGCAAGAAAAATAGACTAACATGGCTAATTACGTGGGGAAAATATACTTATTAGTGGTTATTCATGAATTCCCGTGTTTGTTGCCAGGACTGGAGAACAAACCTTGAGACAGCTCTCAGGAATAGTGTCCAAATCAAGGAAACACTGGCACTGCTGTCAAGTATAAATATAGTTTGTGTGGAGGTTATTTCCATGTTAGAAACTTGGCCTCGATTTCTACTACAGGAAGTGCAGCAAGAAGGTGAAAGGAAGAGAGGAAATGAGCTTCATGTTTTCTGATGTCAACATCTTGGTTTTAGCATCCTAGTCACTGTCTGGCATCTTCTCGGCCAAGCTGAAGTTGCCTATATCTGCTTCAGAGGGAAGGAATTATGGGACATGTAAGTTCAAGTGTCTGCCTTCAAGCAGGAAATTTCCCAAATATTTCCTTGAAAGGATGCTCAAAAGGCTACAGGCAGCTATAGACATAATTAAAAAAAAAAACACACTAAAATAGATTTTTTTTTTAAATGAATGGAAATTTTTTTACTCTTCTAGTTTGAAACATACCTTAATCCTATCCTGGTAACTTATGGCCATCCCAAAATGAAGAAAACCCTCCAGTCCTCAACCCCTAGTAGCCACTGAACTGAGAACTCAAAAGTTATATAATGGATTGGGGAATATTTTGAGATTCACGGATGGTCCTTTGCTGGCCCAGCTTGGTACAAGCAGCCAGTCTTCCAGGAAAAGAGGTGTATAATAAACAATCTGCTGTGGTATAGAATCCAGCTGCCAGTGCCCGAGACTCAGATTTGATTCCTGGATCAGAAAGATGCCCTGGAGAAAAAAATGGCAACCCACTCCACTATTCTTGCCTGGAAAATCCCATGGACAGAGGAACCTGACAGGCTACAGTCCATGGAGTCACCCAGAATTAGGTCCTACAGTCCTTGGGGTCACAAAGAGTCAAACATGGCTGAGCAACTGAACATAAACCCACAAAAAAACAATTGAAAGAATAGAACTGTATCACAAAAGTTATGATGCTATCTAAGGACAAAGACTGAAATAAACATAATTGTATTTGTCCTTAAAATCAGTAATCTTAGCCTAGTACTGAATTTTGTGCAGTTATTATCTATCTGGTGTTTTGTGGCTGAACAATGACCAGAAGCCTGAGATCTAGGAATTCTTATGTAGAGGTAGGGAGTGTCCCCCTTACCCATGGACTGCAGCGCGCCAGGCTTCCCTGTCCATCACCAACTCCTGGAGTTTACCCAAACCCATGTCCATTGAGTTGGTGATGCCATCCAACGATCTCATCCTCTGTCGTCTCCTTCTCCTGCCTTCAGTCTTCCCCAGCATCAGGTTCTTTTCCAATGAGTCGACTCTTCACATGAGGTGGCCGGAGTATTGGAGTTTCACCTTCAACGTCAGTCCTTCCCATGAACACTCAGAACTGATCTACTTTAGGATGGACTGCTTGGATCTCCTTGCAGTCCACGAGCCTCTCCAAGAGTCTTCTCCAACACCACAGTTCAAAAGCATCAGTTCTTTGGCACTCAGCTTTCTTTATAGTCCAACTTTCACATCCATACACGACTACTGGAAAAACCATAGCTTTGACTAGACGGACCTTTGTTGGCAAAGTAATGTCTCTGCTTTTTAATATGCTATCTAGGTTGGTCATAACTTTCCTTCCAAGGAGCAAGTGTCTTTTAATTTCATGGCTGAAAATCACCATCTGCAGTGTTTTTGGAGCCCAAAAACATAAAGTCTGTCACTGTTTCCACTGTTTCCCCATCTATTTGCCATGAAGTGATGGGACCAGATGCCGTGATCTTAGTTTTCTGAATGTTGAGCTTTAAGCCAACTTTTTCACTCTCCTCTTTCACCTTTATCAAGAGGCTGTTTAGTTCTTCACTTTCTGCCATAAGGGTGGTGTCATCTGCATATTTGAGGTTATTGATATTTCTCCCGGCAATCTTGATTCCAGCTTGTGCTTCCTCCAGCCCAGCATTTCTCATGATGTACACTGCATATAAGTTAAATAAGCAGGGTGACAGTATACAGCCTTGACGTACTTCTTTTTCTATTTGGAACCAGTCTGTTGTTTAATGTCCAGTTCTAACTGTCGCTTCCTGACCTGCATACAGATTTCTCAAGAGGCAGGTCAGGTGGTCTGGCATTCTCATCTCTTTCAGAATTTTCCAGTTTGTTGTGATCCACCCAGTCAAAGGCTATGACATAGTCAGTAAAGCAGAAATAGATGTTTTTCTGGAGCTCTTTTGCTTTTTCGATGATCCAGCAGATGTTGGCAATTTGATCTCTGGTTCCTCTGCCTTTTCGAAAACCAACTTGAACATCTGGAAGTTCTCGGTTCATGTATTACTGAAGCCTAGCTTGGAGAATTTTGAGCATTACATTACTAGCATGTGAGATGAGTGCAATTGTGCGGTAGTTTGAGCATTTTTTGGCATTGCCTTTCTTTGAGACTGGAATGAAAACTGACCTTTTCCAGTCCTGTGGCCACTGCTGAGTTTTCCAAATTTGTTGGCATATTGAGTGCAGCACTTTCACAGTATCATCTTTCAGGATTTAAAATAGCTCAACTGGAGTTCCATCACCTCTACTAGGTTTGTTCGTAGTGATGCTTTCTAACATTCCAGGATGTCTGGCTCTAGGTGAGTGATTACACCGTTGTGATTATCTGGGCCATGAAGATCTTTTTTGTATAATTCTTCTGTGTATAGTTCTTCTCTGTAACAACTGTTATTTCTGCTGTATATTCTCTCACAGCAACTGGGCTCCTTAGAAAAGGCCTGTCAATATCAGAAAGCAATAAGATGGACTGTTTTCTTAAGAATGATTCTGAGAATAATTTGTAGAATTTGCTCAGCCAGTGCTGTCAAGTAGTTGTGCCTTTGCCTGATCTCACAGGGAGTTAATTCACTTCCCAGTTGAATTGTATTTTACTGTCATAGATAATATGTTGTCAATATTATTATTATTGACAGAACTAAGGTAGTTCTATGTCTGATTAGTTCCTTTGCTTAGGGTTCATCTCCCTGGTGTTTTGAACCAGTAGTCAGTGTCCAGTTAAACCACTTACAGTTTAGCATTTGCTTTGAGTATACGTGTAAGGAGTTAATACGGCACAGGGAAGCTTGAGGTGTTATTGGAGATGTTATTTGTGGCTTAAAGCCTTTAGAGTATACATGATTTATAGATAGTTCATAGCATGGAATTCTTTCTATATATTAAAATCCTGTTAAGATAACAATGAGATAAGTACAAATAATGTTAAAACATTTCTCCTAGAATAGAATATTTGCCTTCATGGTGCATCATAGTATGAAAAATATAATTTCTTTAGACAATCTTCCATCTTTTTAATACAGTTTTAAGTTCTATATTATGACTCAGACTTTTTCATTATTTTTTCTCTTGTCCCTTCATAGAGTGACACATGAATTGCATTTGTGACAATAGGAAAAATGTGTTTGTATTATAGATAAATATAACAGGACTTTTTTTGTGGGATTCTAATGATTTTTTTTTTTCTTAACAATTGAAAGGCTTTGTATCTAATACTGTCAAGCGATTCTCATCACAGGAATTTACTTTTTTTAATGCTGGGCTAACATTACAGTATGAGGGATGAAAATATTAGCTGTTAAGGATGAAGGCCTTGTTTATATTGGTTGGTGTGCCTCTAATGTAAGGACTCTGCAACCCTTACATTACATCCCTGTGGCATAAGTACTATTTGAAGACCTCAATTAGAACGAAAGGAAAAAAAGGCCAAATAAGGATTTATGTGTTTTCAGTTTCAAACAAAGACTGAAATTCTAGTGCCTTTAAGTTTGTAAGAGCTTCAAATCAGTAGGTTGTTTAGGCCCACAATCCCATCCAAAACCGTACTCTCATAAGGCCACGCTACAGTGTTGTTTTGGGCATGTTCCTGTGTTTCTTGTGACATACATGAATTCATGTATCTGCCTGAGCAAACCTGGTACTTTATGTTCCTTTTATTTCCTTGAATCACAGGAGCTTCAGTTTCAGCGACTCACCCGAGAACTGGAGGTGGAAAGGCAGATTGTTGCCAGTCAACTAGAAAGATGTAGGCTTGGAGCAGAATCACCAAGCATCGCCAGCACCAGGTACAGGGCCAATGGCTCTATCTTTTTAAATGCCTTTATCTTCTTAACTCCCTTCAAGTCATGGGCCATATTAATTGTCCTAGATGCAGCAAATGATGCTTTTAGTGTTGTCACTGTTTACTTGTCTTCCTAAAATTGGTACCAAAAATGTCAATTTATTCTAATTTTGAGAAACCTCTTGCGATATTGATTATCCTTGTCTTGTGCTTGAAGTGTTTTATGTGGCACTGGTATGGTTCTCTAGTAAAAGCCACTAAGCTACTTTTAGAAATTTGATTTATTATATGTCAACAAAGGAATGGTTTTAACAATTAATGGCTAATTATTTGGTAAAGCTGATTGATTTCGGAAACCTGATATTGGTTTTGTTTTTTTTCTTTTTAACTAAGAAATATTTCTAAGCAATAGCATTTAGCTAGCTTTGAAAAATGCCTTCAGTTTACCTTGAATTTTCTAGAACTCTGTAAAAATACTACATGAAATGATTGCTGTTTGAAATAATTGTGTATTCAAATCAGCATAAAACCAGTATATTACTGGACAAAAAAAAAATCAAAAGTGTTGTTTTATATTTAAATAACCTGTTATGCTATTTAAAAACATCATTAGAATATGAATTACTGCCACAACTCCAACTGGTGAATCACTGTTTATCCAATCTGTGGGTTTCTTTCATAGTATTTACATATTCCAAGAAAGCCTACTATGCAGTACTACTGTTGCTTGCATTTTTAAGCTTAGTTTGTTTATCCCTCAGTAGGTGTGTGCCCGTAGTAACTTGTCTCTGAGTTGTTTCTAACATCATAATTGTTGTACTTCCCTGTATCTCCTATTCATAGCCAAAAAATCCTTCTTGCTGAGTAGAATGCTGTTTGTAGCTGATTGCTATACATTTAAAATTACTAGACAGATAAATTGTATTCTCATTAATTTTTTCATCTTTGATCCTTAACAGTTACGCACATTAGTATGTTTAGTATAGCATAAAACATGCAAATAAGATGAAGAAAACTTTAAACACAAATATCAAGTACTGTGAACATTTTAAAAACATTGGTTTTTTATAGGAAGAGAATTTATAAGCAAGGTGTAAAATTATAAATCAAAAATTTCTAACTTACTTTATATAACTCAATTAGATAATTTATTAAGAAAGTTAAAACTGTCAAAACAAAAACTTGTTTTAATTTTACCCAGGTGTTTTTTTAAGGTTCTCTGTATCTTTAGCACAAAAAAGAGCACTTCACAAGCTCAGTAATGTAGTGTTGAACGTTTCTGAAAAGTATGAACCAACAGATTTTGTTCAATAATTTATACTATTAGAAAGTTTAAATCAATATTTAAAGAATTCAGTTAAGATGTTATTCTGACAATTAAGACAACTAAAATGAACATAAACACTTCTCAGTAAGCTCCTAGAAATACTTGATATTCAATAATACAGGTCAGAAGCTAGAGGAAATAGTAAAGGAGCAAAGAAAATCCTCAGGTTCTAGAAATACAGAACCAGAAGCCAGGGTCACGAGTATTTGAGCTGCCAGTTCAGGAGGCCAGGGCAGAGTCAAGCCCCCAACACAGCGCTAGTCTTAGGTTTAATACTCCTTTAGGGACCAAAGAGTGAGGCCTTGTGTGCTCACGGTGGTACGCTTGAACTGGGAAACATAAGCTATGGCCCTCAAATGCACTCTTGGACAAACCCAGGCTTGTACCCCATGTGAATTTAGAGTACAAATATAATCGTATGCATTTTTCAAGAGTCTCCAGCTGAGAAACTAATATCACCAAAGATGAGCTCAGTTCAGTTCAATTCAGAGGCTCAGTCATGTCCGACTCTTTGTGACCCCATGAACCTCCAGGCCTCCCTGTCCATCACCAACTCCCAGAGTCCACCCAAACCTATGTCCATTGTGTCGGTGACGCCATCCAACCAACTCATCCTCTGTGGTCCCCTTCTCCTCCTGCCCTCAGTCTTTCCCAGCATCAGGGTCTTTTCCAATGAGTCAGTTCTTCACATCAGCTGGCCAAAGTATTGGAGTTTCAGCTTCAGCATCAGTCCTTCCAGTGAACAGCCAGAATTGATCTCTTTTAGGATGAACTGCTTGGATCTCCTTGCAGTCCAAAGGACTCTCAAGAGTCTTCGCCAACACCACAGTTCAAAAGCATCAATTCTTCTGCACTCAGCTTTCTTTATAGTCCAAGTCTCACATCCATACATGACCACTGGAAAAACCATAGCCTTGACTAGACAGACCTTTGTTGGCAAAGTAATGTCTCTGCTTTTTAATATGCTGTCTAGGTTGGTCATAACTTTCCTTTCAAGGAGTAAGCGTCTTTTAATTTCATAGCTTCAATCACCATCTGCAGTGATTTTGGAGCCCAGAAAAATAGTCAGCCACTGTTTCCACTGTTTCCCCATCTATTTGCCATGAAGTGATGGGACCGGATTCCGTGATCTTTTCTGAATGTTGAGCTTTAAGCTAACTTTTTCACTCTCCTCTTTCATTTTCATCAAGAGGCTCTTTAGTTCTTCACTTTGTGCCATAAGGGTGGTGTCATATGCATATTTGAGGTTGTTGATATTTCTCCCGGTAATCTTGATTCCGGCTTGTGCTTCCTCCAGCCCAGCATTTCTCATGATGTACTCTGCATATAAGTTAAATAAGCAGGGTGACAATATACAGCCTTGACGTACTCCTTTTCCTATTTGGAACCAGTCTGCTGTTCCCTGTCCAGTTCTAACTGTTGCTTCCTGACCTGCATACAGGTTTCTCAAGAGGCAGGTCAGGTGGTCTGGTATTCTCATCTCTTTCAGAATTTTCCACAGTTTGTTGTGATCCACACAGTCAAAGGCTTTGGCATAGTCAATAAAGCAGAAATAGATGTTTTTCTGGAACTCTCTTGCTTTTTCGATGATCCAGCAAATGTTGGCAATTTGATCTCTGGTTCCTCTGCCTTTTTGAAAATCAGCTTGAACATCTGGAAGTTCTCGGTTCATGTATTGCTGAAGCCTGGATTGGAGAATTTTAAGCATCACTCTACTAGCGTGTGAGATGAGTGCAATTGTGCGGTAGTTTGAACATTCTTTGGCATTACCTTTCTTTGGGAATGGAATGAAAACTGATCTTTTCCAGCCCTGTGGCCACTGCTGAGTTTTCCAAATTTACTGGCTCACAATCAGATTATTAAAAACTCAAGTCAAAAAAAACTCATCCCTGAGAAGAATCAGCAGGCCAGAGAGTAGGACTTAAAACTAAGAACTTAATGTCAGAGGAGAAAGTCTGACAGGTATGCACAGGAAGACAAATACAAATGCTTTTTGTAACTTTTGCAAAAGTAAAAGCTGAGAATCAAGATAGATATGGGAAATAAACTGTGAATAAGTAAACTCAAGAGCCATTAAAATGAAATAACTATATGTGTCAACATGCACATCTTTGCAAAACAGACTTTTGAGTGAAAACTACAAGTTGCAAAAGAATGGATATGAGGTTATCCTTATGAACATTTAGAAATATGTATAGTAATGAATTTAAATAGTGTTTGATATTATTTATACATCAGTGCATCTCTAGTAGAAGTACAAAAAATATTTCAGGATGATACCAATTTAAGATAGTGGTACCTCTAGGGAGGAAGGGAAGGAGGGAACAATTAGGAATTCAGCTTTAGCCAAATCTGTAACATTTTGTTTAAGATTGCCATCTGAAATAAATATAACAAAAACATTAATGTCAGTTAAACAAGGGGATTATTGGTACATGCATGATGATTAGATACTTTTCTGTACTAAAAGTTTTAAAATATTAACTAAATATAGGGTTATATTTTGAATTAGGTTATTCCACAAGTTTGTTAGAAACTGGTTCGTAAAATCATGTTAGGATTTGGGGCTTGGTGTCTGATTCTCAGTGCCCAGCTTGGTGCCTGGCTCGGCACTGGTGCTCTGTGGGGTGGGTGAGTGGGTCCTGCAGAAGTGGGAGTCTGGCTAACCCAAGACAGAGGGAAAGTATGCACAGAAGTGTGTGTCACACTGCAGTATTGGAGGCCCAAGAGGCATGGTAGTGTCTAGGATGTGTCCTGAAAGCACCTTGTGGCTTTTGGGGTTGGGAGAGTAAAGCTGGCCTTTGATTCTGGAGAACTGGGACCCCGTGAAGATAGATGAGTGTCACCTTCCATTAGGTCTGTAAAGTAGACATGTTGAAACACTTTGCTGTAGTTGGAGGCAGTTGTTCTGATAGTGTAGGGTGAGGTCAGAATGGAGAGAGGCCAGGCAGCAGGACAGGAATCTGTTATGGAACAGGGGTTGAGAAGGGGTTGAGAAGAAAGTGGGTTTCTTTATTCTGTGAATTCTGCTTGGAATGATAACTGATCCACTTTGATTGTCCTGGTCCCATCTCAGTTGTATTCTTATGTATTCTTGATGTCCCCAGCTAAGTGCTAACCAACTCTTACAGCCTTTCCCATATTTCTCCAGGGCAGTCACCTCTTCATCGAAACTCTTATAACTGTTCCTCTGTTCATGTATTAGCCTCCTGTGAGGTGGTAAGGCCCACCCCAGCCCCCACCCCCACAGCCCTGACATGCTGCTAAGTGTTCATTGAATGAACAGTGTTGTTTAATGAAGCTCAGTTTGGTTTAAGTTCCTCGGATAAGCTTGCTTCACTGTTGGTCACTTACCTGATATTCACCACTTCTCACATCTGCCTTCTTCACACCTTTCATTGTGCTTTTTGGTGGACCTTTAGAAAGACTGTTGACACAATTACTTTGCCCAGGTTTAACACTGGCACGAGCCATTTAGAAAATAGTGTCAGTGAAGGGAGATAGGCTTTTACTGTATCACTTGAGAGAGCCCCCTTTTGTCTGCCAGTCCCCACCAACAGTCTCAGAACCAGAATCTAAAGATAAAATAGCTCTCAGACCCAAACCCTCTTTCCTGTCAGCTGTTTCTGATTTGCACTGCTTCCAGCCAGGAAGCTTCCTTTCAGGATTCAGGTCCT